CCAAAGTCCCTTCCAGACAAATCAGTGGTCTGAAAGTGCGCTGTCTTGGTGAAACTCTGAAAGAGCACTTGGATGGCTGCACGGCAATCCGGGCTCTCTGATGACTCAGATCCTAAGGATCCTGCTTACCTATTCCTAGTCTTCGGTAGGGTGCCAGGCATCCGAGCGTCATGATGTACAGTCTCTTCTGGTTCTGGGAGTGATCCACCCGACAGCACACTGCTCCCACGGCAATATCGTTGAAATAGGCTGTCGGGGGGACAAAGTGTTATCAGTCACATGTCTCAAACTGGACATACACACAGCTCCTTCATGTAGGCCCTGTATCCTCTTTCCATCCCTCTTCCTAATTCTCCCACCCAGATAAAACGACGGATCGTGGCTAACACTTGGAGTGAAGGTACCAACGGTGCTCTGACAAGTTCAGAGCAACTAACAGTGGCATCAGGAGGTAAACTGGCAACACACATCTCAAGCTTTCTGCTGTAACAGAAAACGTGCCTATTCCCAGCAAAATGGAATCTATTTAGGACACAAACCCTCTGAGGTTGGGACTGTGGCTTTTTGAGGTTCCCAAACAGTTATTTTTCATTATGTGAAACAACAAAATAGAAGGATCTACTATTCAAAACCATTATGGACAGCAACGGTGAACGCTTCTGCCACCATAGCCCACAATTACTGGCAAGAACATCTGTACCTAATTTGGCTAGTTCGCCAACCTCCAGTACATCCTTGTAGAACTTGTCATTGTAGCTGACAGGAAAAATGACCTGGTTTAGCCTCTTCAGCTGCTTAATGTTGTGTGGCGTCACATCTCCCAGCTCGATCCGGCTACTGGAACAAATCAAAACATGCTTAACATCTGACACACCGCAAAATTTCTATGGATACCAAAAATTATTTTATTTATGCTTAGAGAACTGTCTCACCTAACAAGCAGTTCAATCCACAGCTGAACTGAAACGTTCAACCCATACAGTTACGTCTTCTGTTTTAACCCCCAACCCCATTTCAGCTGGTACTCTACAGTCACAAGTTTCTCAGGCCACACTTAACACACTGTGCACGTGTGGTTTTATCGAGTGGGAGACAAGAAAACACAAATCTCTGTAGGAGCATTAGTTTAACCTTTATCCCATTCATTTCCTCATTGATCATCAAGACCATGGACGGAGGGAAATAAGAAAAAGATGTGAGTGACATGTGGCTAGAACAGTGACCAAGAACATTAAGTCCTTACACATGCTTCAAAGACAGCCCTAATTTTACACCTATCAACATAAAGCTTGTGCTTAGGCAAAGACTAAGTCATTACTAGACATCTGTCCCTAAAAAGCAACAATATTATGTGCAGCAAGCTCCTCTTAAGCCTGTTAATACACACGCATGTCACTCTCAAGGTGAAAAAAGCATCTGTTACGATCAGCACTCAAGTCATTCCTCCTGCTGACTGAGAGCAGAATCACAACTTTAAAATACCAGTACTGCACCGAATTATTCTGAAAAGAAACAGATCAGGCTTCTCCCTTTTCTAAGACTAACTTCCTGACAGGAACACTACATATACAGAAGCAAATTTAAGAACAAATAAAATAGGTGCTCATATTCCCCCAAACCAATTTCATGGGTGCAGGTAGACAGTTTTACAAAGACTACAAGAATGAAACATAAAACCCCCAAATAATCAAAACATCTTTCCAAATGGTCACCAGACCACACAGGCAGGTAAAGCCAATGCATGTTGAGTTAGAAACAGACACAATTCTGGGGTCATCTCAGCCTTGTTTTACTGAACACATTCAGGCAACCCGACTGGTTTCTGCCTGAACACTTTGGTAAAGATACTGTTTGTCTTTTTTTTTTTTTAAAAAGATCATATTTCTAAGATCCTCGTACGCCAGGCTTCAAAGTTCATTCCAGTGCAGTAGGTGCTTTCCATTCCCAATGCCCCTTGTGCCTAGGCAGCTTGTTTTTTCCAATCGGTTGACGCCTGGGACACAACTGCCCAGATGAATTTACATAATACAGTGAAAAAAAGAATCAATAACTGTTTTCTTCAAGAACTGGAGCAAACAATGCCGGGTATAATCTCTCTCTATTAACTGACCTTTATTATACCTCAAAACCCCTTAAACACTTAGTGCTCCAGATGTATCAGTTTTAGTTGGTGCTACCACGGCGGGTGATAAATGCACGACGCTTTCCAGGCGTGGCACTGCAGCCTGCAAAACCATCCGAAAAAGCCACAGGAACGGAGCACTTAACGTTTACTTCAAGAAACACAACTTGCCCTTACACCCATTTTCTCTTTCTCTTTCACAGCAGAGAACAGAGCCTTCGGTTCTGCAAAGGCCTCAGGATCATCGCTGCCCGCGCTGGCATGACGGTGCCAGACAATGTCCCCAGTGAGCCCTGCAGAAGCTGAACAACCCTGAGCAGGGCCCACCTTTCAGAGCACCACCTAGCACTGACTAGTGGATTGTTCATGCGTTTGTAATTCTCCATCAGCTTAATATGTGCCAGTTAATTATCCTAACTACTTAGAATGAAGTAGTTAGGACTTAATGATGACATTTCCCTATTGAACTACTGTCTCACGTTTCATGGCGCGTTTGCCAGAGCCCTCTGCAGTCACGCATCCCATGCCAGCATGGGTGCTTGCGAGTGGTCCCAGGCAGCCCTTCATCTTCCCCTCACCACATTGAGCATACCAGTCTCTTCCCTCACTCACTGCAGGAGCAATTGCTAAGCCATGAGCCCTCGTAGCTTGCCCCAGGCTCTGTCTCTTGAGGGACATCTCGCTGGAACTGGAGAGTATGTTCTCCGACAGTGATCTCCAGAATGTCAAAAGTTCTAAGTCCCTGTATTCTCGCATCTCGTCCATGTCAAGATACCCAGGCATACTACAAGCAACAGCAGTGGGACGTATTTCTGAAGTTTCTACTTACAAACCAGTACATTGTACTGAAATAGTCTGCAGGCTCTCTTTTCCGCGACTCCTACCTCCACCAGCCCTTTGTTTCTCAGCCTTTTCCATCTTCTAGATTATTTTTGCTATCGACATTAATATTTCCTTCTTCATGTATCACCACGTGCGCAAGTCCCTTTGATAACTGTATTCCAACATGAAGTATTGAGCTAGTAAGGATGATCTCACACCACTAAGTACTCCCATTGTAAACAGGCATGCTATCAAATAATAGTAATTAGGCGGTGAGTAACTGCAATACTTGGTTTATGCCCAGCTTAGCACAGCTGTTCAGCCTAGCATGGCAGGGCTTCTTCAGGCACACAGAAGGCAAGTTGTGCCCTTTTCTAATCCCAGCCAGCAGGGCCGCTACCCTTTTCTCACAAAGGGTAGGAATAAAAGTGGCATGCGAGTTCCCAGGTGTGTTTGTGTCTGGGAGAGAGTTTTGCTGGAGTAGAGCACCCCAGTAACCTCATAGTAGGAGTGAAGAGAAGACCCTGCTGCCTCTTTTACTGCAGTCTGCATCAGAGTGGCAATCAAAGGGAGCCGGTCTCAACAGCCCAGTTAGATCAGGTGAGCTGCACAGTAGGAGGTCAGTAAGGGAAGAGAAAAATCTCACATTCACGCTCTGTCTCTTGGAAGTCTAGACCTCTTGTCCAAAAGAGTTAATCGTATGTTAACCTTGGTGACACTTTTTCTTGTACTAGTAGGCCCATAACACTAGTGTGAACGCTCACAATGAACTCACGGCAAAGTTGCTACAGAGCATGTCCCTCTGCAATTGAGCAAAAATCTCTGATGCAGACTATTATCAGGTAGTGCGTTTTCTGGTATTATTTTCAAATTAATTATTTACTAATGAAGCAAGAAATCAGGCATTAGAAGACAGTCACTACGGAATATTCATGCTGACAGCGCAACAGTGCAAAAACGTATTGTCGGGGCAGCCAGGACAAGAAAGGGAACGCGGTCAGAAGATGGACCTTCACCAAGGTTTCAGACAGGCAATAAATAAGTGCAGAAGCAGAGGCTAAGGCTGCTCGTCCTGCTGAGCCAAGACATCACCTCTGCGGCCAAGCAGAGGAACAAGTTCCAGCAGTAGGTGGCTAAAAGGTGCTGTTGACAGACTTTCTTGAGCTCCCCCCTCTATCTCTCACCACTTGCCACATTCGTTGCTGCCTCCTGCCACCTCCTTCTGCCTGCCTCCTGCATTCTGTCACTAGCTGCTTCCTCACTGCTCGAGAGTTGCACCAGGGCCAGTAACTTATCCTGGAGGATAATATGAAAAAGGTTTGAGAAACACTGCAGGACACGTAAATCAATATGCTAAAGATGCCTGTTCAAATACTGTATGCTCAAACTATAAATTATTTGAACGTATCGCACGAGCCGATTAAATCAGCTCCACATCTATTACACACAAGAACATTTAGTAAGTAAACTAGATGAGGACATGGAAAGGAAGACGCACATCATGAGAGTTCCTCGCTTCACCTGAGGACAGGCAGCAGAAGTGCCGCTAGAGCCTCGAGCAAAACCATGGGAAAGCTGGCACTGCTGCCGAGAGCCTTGCCGTCCCCGAGCCGCTCACTTCCGCAGAAGAGCCAGCCTACCCTCGATTAAACTGGACGCAGTGTGCAGGAGGAGCACAGGGATCATTCAGCGCCCAGATGATTTTGTGCCCCACCTTATCATCTACGGAACAACATGCGCTTCGAACCTAAGGGCTTCAAACTACCTCAGCCTCGAAAGACCCAAGACAAAGCACCCGTAACAAAGGGCACGAGGTGGTCACTCATTTCTTGTCACTGGAGTAATGGAAATACCTTTGGGTTTTTGTTTCTTTTTAATTGCTATTTACAAGTAGACCTACTGCTTCAAGTTACCTCTCAGCCAAATCCGTAACACAAGTTCACTGGATCAGCTAAGGTCCGATTAAGCCAGTCCTCCGCGTTCCGGCTGGGTACGGGCTGTACTGGAAATACCTATCCTCTGCTGTTGCGAAGAAAAAAATTATATCATGAGCTCAAATTAGCCTATGAGAGAGCATAAAGATGTGTACAGAGCCTCAAGTGCCCTGAAGGGACATGCCCTTCCTTAACGGATTATTTTATCCTGTTACTCCAATAATATTCCTAAGAAGACACACATTACTGCCGTCCTACATCTCAAATGGCACTCCGTGAAGCTCGCAGTGGTCAACTGTACTCACCTTTGGTGTCAAAGCTGCTGGACCGAGACAGCCACCCAATCCCAAGCCATTGTTTTTAATGTGGAGGAACAAGGGACTCTTGGCTGATCGTATCAGGCTTCTCATTACGAGTGCTCCACAAATCCATACCCTTTCCTAGATGGAATACCAGCCCTCTAAAGCCACTTAAACTTACCTTTCATGGCAAGGCTGCTCCCAGGCTATCATCATCCTCATAGTCAGGCTTTCTCCCGATTTCCATCCTAAAGGTACTCAAGTTCTACCCATATGCTGCCTCTTGTTGCTCATTAGCCTCAGTGCTTGATGGGTACCAATACTCCCCATCCCAATGCCTTTTCGGAGAGCTACCAGGACCTCTTTATACTTTCCTTCTTCTAACTAAAGCCAAGCTCCTGGCCTCCTCCTTTAAGACTAGCTCTTAACTCCTACTGCCTCTTCTTTCCAACTCTTCAGATTAATTTTTCCTTAAGCACGGTGAACCAAAACTGCTTACAGCACCCCAAATACTACTGCCTTGTACAATGGCAGTTAAGTTTTTCCCATCTCTACCGAAAGCATTTTCCTGACATATCCTAGGACTACGTTTGCCTGTGTCACAACTGCAACATACTGCGATTTAGTTACTGGGGAAAACATGCACCCAGACTCCACTAGCAGAGGGGATCGGTTCCTGGGGCAGAAGGCTGCTGTTCACTAAATGC